CTATGGCCTTTTTATAATATTTGGACTTCAACTCCCAGAATTCTGGGGGTTGAAATCCACATAAGAACCATAGTTGCCCACCCTGGCCCTTTGAAAGTCTCCAAAGACATGGCCACCTATGCTTAGGGATCCAGTTATGGTTTGACCTATACTAGATGTACTGATTGATCCATAACTTTCATTTGCCTGCTTTTTTATATCTCTTGATTTTAATTGGGTTTTAAAGGGAAGTATTGTATTTCTTATTGGTTTCTGGTTTTGTTTGTTGGCCATTTTAATACCCATCTCACATTTGTACATGAATGAAATAAATAAGGTGCCAGCAATACGTACTTATTTTGGAGCACCTCTTTATGCTTTGGATGCTTCTGGATTGAAAGGATTAGCTAGCTATAAGCTTTTGCCCAGCAATAGGTACTATGAAGGATGTACAAAACAGTTACCTATTTACATATGTATTCCATTTATATAGCCACCCATCTCACATTCATGACTCTGGACAGCCTACAAGTAAAACAGTACTGAAAAATAAAAAAATTACACAGCCAAACCAAACATTAAAAACAATTGGAAAGCCATACAGTAGAATCACCAGTAATAGGAAGAGAATTGAGACCTACTGCATGGATTGAATTTTTTTCTGAATTTTTTTTAATGCCTTGGTATATATATGGTCTTAACTCACAATAATTCACCTCATGAATATAAATGTTTATTCAAAAATAAAACTGTTATTTTCCCCATACTTTTAAAGATTCTGCATTATTTTTATAACAAAATTACATAGACCTCTGGATTTTTTTTTCCTTTTGAAGTATAAAAACTCAGGGAAATGTGAAACAGTTTTTAAATGTAAATGTTGAGGTAAATTGTATGTGTTTTAATTTTTGCAAAATAACCATGTATTGTGAACATTGCCTACATACCTGTCCGCAATATATAATTCCCATTTCCATGAGTACATTTTTTGATGTACAGGGAATTTACGCAAACTTTGCTTTCTGTATAATGCTAAATTTAATTTTCTTTATATCTCTTGATTAATTATGGGATTGGATTTTAATTTGAGTCTTCTTTTATATTTTAGGCTATGTTCATGAAGATATATTGTTGCAATAGATTTGTTATGTGATTATGAATTATAATTTTAAAATGTATGTTAATTAATTTGTTGTTACTTTGTTCTTTTCTTTTTCCCAGATTGCCAGCAGATGGGTCTGGGATGTTGCAAGAGACACTTGGGTCCAAGCACAATATGAAACTGAGAACTACATTATGGTGGCTCTAGTAGTTGCTTCCTATTTTGAGTAATTAATAAATTAATTTTTGGACATTTATATAGCTGCCTACTCACTCACAGCAACTCTAGATGGCTTACAAACAGTAAGGAAACATTGTAGCACTATATTGAGATTTTTCTTGTTCTATTTGCTCAAATAAATATATTTGCTTCAACCACACTACCACTGTAACACTTTTTGTGTAAAACATTTATGACAAAGTGATACTCCTTGCTGCCTGTTGAGTATTGATAACCAAACAACTGGGCATGCCTGTTACTGTCTACAGGTAGTCCTTGGTTAAAGATGATTCATTCAGTGACCAACGTTATGATGGTGCTGAAAGAGTGTGGATTACTAGTCTTGAAGTTCTTAATTGTCCGGCATCCCCATGGTCACGATTTCAAACTTGCAGCATCTGTCAGTTAAGTAATCATAATTAGTGACTTTCCCTGCCAGCTGAGTCCAGTTTAGGACTTTATACATATCTGTATACTGCTAAAACTCTTATTATCTGTTTGATAATTGATAATCTTCAATTTGGGCAAAACAGTGCATCATAAGAGCTAACTTACAGAACGCATCCAAAATCCAGGACCCATTGTTCCCATGGAAATTTGTTAAAGTTGTCACTTCAGTACCACACCTTCTGACTACACTTCCCAGAAACCCATTGGTTGCTTGATGCAAAGGAAAATGGAAACAGGTGTATCCCCACTCTTTTCTCCCTCCCTCTGGTCCCTATGTCCAATCAGCTGGTGGCAGAACCCAACAGGCAAGTGGCTATTGGCTGTTTTGGAATAAAGACTGAAATTTGAAATCTTTTAACAGCAGTGGCTGGTTTGGGGAAGAAACAAGGGAATAATTCAGATGTCTGTTGGCAAGGTAGAGCTGATTGGGAGACACTGATGGTTTCTTCTTGGAGGAGGGCCTTGGGAAAAACCAGAACGGGGAACAGGAGTGCAGTTTTCCCCATGGTTCACCAATCTTTGTTCTGCCCACCTGCCCCCTCCCCCCCAAGTGGCAGGGAGTTCCTCGGATGAGCTGAGGTGGTAGAGGAGAGCACAACTTCACTGGCTCTCCTGAGGGTGGTGAAATGAGAGGAAATGGTACAAGCCTACCTTATATCTGGAAAGAAAAAATTACTCAAGGGGTCATGGGCTGTCTAGTTTCGACTTAAAAAATCTAGACTAGATGGCAGAAAACATTTCTGGATTTCCTGTCATCTTGCAATGATTTGGATATTTGCAGCCCAGATAGGGTGGTAATATTTTATGCAACACTTACTGTGTTTGTTAGACTGGTAACTTGCCTTTGCTTCTTTGGTTTTTCTCCCAGTCACCATGGCTGACCGATTAAGACTTCAAAACATTTGCAACCAAGCCCGCAATAGCATCTAGTTCTGTTTTATGAGTGGGCTTGACTGAGTCTCACAGTTTGATTCAGTGCCTTGCCCCACATACATATACATCATCAAACATCTGGGAGGACACTGATTACCTAGATTAGAAGAAATAAAAATAAATATCAGGAGACCATGAGTTCTAGTCTTGCCTCAGCATAAAAGCTGGCTGAGCAACTGGGCCAGTCAACACGCTCTCAGCCTAACTCACCTCATAGGGTGGTTGTTGTGGAGAAAATACAGATTGAAGGAGAGGAATGATATTAGATCGCAGTCTTGAGTTATTAATAAAAAGTAATAGGCAAGATAAAACAATCTTTTTTCAAAAATATATTTTTAAATATTGACTCAATACACTTGCGGACTTCACTGAGTTCACCGCCAGATGGGGTGGGGTGTAAGACAACTCAACCCAGACAACTCGCTGCAGGATAAGGTACCCTAATATCAAAGAAACAGTGGGATAAAATTGTTAAAGGATGCAAAAGGAGGGACAAGATGAACTATGAATGACAACATGTTAATAAAATTTGAATGTTTTTAAAATTATTTAAAATACTTAAATTGAATCGTTGAATTGTCCCGCAGTGAATTCGCTGTGGGGAGTTGGCCGCATCAAGTTGTCCCATTCCTCCCCCAGATGGTGACATAACACCTTTAAGAAAACAGCTGCCGCTCGTAATAAAACTGCAATCTGACCGAGTAAAGGCATGCATTTATAGCGCGGGCTCTAAATCACGCTTTTCACGCCCCATTTCTGAACCCGCAATTCCAGGCTAGAAGCTGCTCGTGAAGGAAAAGATTCCGCCCTTCGGCGCCTGCATTGCCATCCCCGGGCCTGCAGGTGGCGCCGGGCCTGAATCGGGTGTGTGTAGAGGAGGGGGGGGGGGGGGAGGTGCTGGCGCGTGGGAGGAGAGGGCGAAGCGGTCTCTAGCCCAGCCCATCCGTGGCCGGTGATGGCGGCGGTGCTGTCCCCGCGGGTGTGCGACAGCGACCCAGCCACGCCCGGAGCCCAGTCTTTAAAGGTGAGGCGGCGCTCAGGTAGAGCTTGGGAAGTTACCTTAGTCTTCTCGGTCCCCCTTTCCTTCCGTCGGTGCCTACCGTCCGTCGCGGAGGAGGATGCCCCGTCGGCTTACGCCATTTTCCTCCCCTTCCGAGGGGCGCCGGTCGGCTAGCCGTTCGTTCCTCCGTGGAGGGCGGCGGCGAGACCCCTCGTGGGCTGGGATTTTAAATCTTTCCACCACCTTCCGTGAAGAGGAGGAGCCTCCCGGGAGGGTCTCTGGCGACTCCGCCTCATCGCCTCCTGGGACCGGGCATCTCCTTCCCTGGCGAGGCAGCCTTGTTTTTCTTTCCCCCAATGCTTATCCCGGCTCTTTCGGCTTTGATTCTCAATATTACCCCCCCTCCCCCCAGCTCTTAGTATTTTACTCTCTGAAGGCACCTAGAGGTCAAACTGTTTTGCCACCGGGTGTTATACGCTGTGGTGGTTGTGGTTGTTGTTGTTGGATTTCCTTGGATCCTCCCCCGTTTAACTCTCCTTTGAAGGACTGAACAGAAGTCGAAGAATTTTAGCGTATCCGAAGTTAAAGGAAGTTCGCTTAAAGGAAATAAAGAACATTGACAGCTGAACAACTCGCCATAAACAGTGGGGCATCCGGGTTGAAGGAGAGGTGTTTTTTTTTTTTTTTTTTAAGAACTCGGTGTCACTTTAGACTCTTGGGGAGCTTGATTTTTTTTTTCTTCTTAAAAGGTTGAATCGCAAATATGTAGACTTGAGGTCAACGAAAAGAGACTTTGCACTTGAATTGGAATAGAATAAGTGTTTTATTTACTATTGTTATATATCTTTAAGAACATCGTGTGTATTTTAAGAATGTACCAAGCAGAATTCGATTGGAAGTTGTGTGTTATATTGAATGTTATAAATTGTAAAGGCATAAATTGAAGTTTAAACAAGAGTTGAATGGACAAAATTAAAAGATACAACAAAGGTGTCATACTCCAATTAGTAACTACAGGGGAAAACTTGTTTAATGAGAAAAGAAAATATGAAATTGAAATAGGACAGACAAAAGTATAAATACAATGATTAGAAAGACACTGAAACTTAGAAAAAGATATATAATTGAATTTAGATAGGTATGAGATAATTAAAAACAAAGTTGAAAAAACCAAGGAAGGGGAAACTTTATGGAGAAAATGTTAAAATAGTAATAAGATATGGAATAGAACACAAAGACAAATACGAAATTGAGTTTTTGTCTGGATGGAGAAGTGATAACCCAGGATCATGCTATTCTCAAAAAAGATGTTTTATTTGTATTATGTTTTGTGAAAAACCAAATAAAATTTATTTTTTAAAAAAAAAAGAGAAAGAAAAGAGACTTTGCACTGTTGTTTTTTCCTGAAAGATGCAGCAGGCCCACTCATCTAAGAAGAAGGCGAACCCTGCAGTACATTTATAGCCTGAATATGGGGATGAGGCTTTTGATGGTTAGCCATCTCCTTGCTTCCCATTTGTTTAGTGTAATGCTGGGAAAAGTATTGTAGCTAGCAACAATTTGTCCTACAATATATAGAATTGAATAGAATAGAATACTTTATTGGCCAAGTATGATTGGACACACAAGGAATTTGTCTTGGTGTAAGTACTCTCAGTATACATAAAAGAAAAGATACATTTGTCCAGAGTCATAAGGTATGACACTTAATGATAGTCATAGGGTACAATAAGCAATCAGCAATATTAAGGTCTCATGCCAATTGATATAAAAAGAAAATAAAGCTGGCATCTCCTACCTGGCCACCTGCTTTCAAGCATCAAATGTGTTTATTAAGAAGTAAGTCACATTGATTTCAGAGTTTCCAAGTTTAAATTGCTTTAGGATTGCCTTCAGGGTGACAGTACTATTTTATTTTTTAAAGAGTGATTCTTTATTTTTTTATAAAGTTTTATTTGGGTTTTCATACACACAAAATACAAGTAAAACATCTTTTTTGAAAATAGCATGGCCCCGGGTTGAATTTCTTTATACAGACACAAACTCAATTTCATGCTCATTTTTGTGTTCTATTCCATATCTTATACTATTCTACATTTTCTATATAGTTTTTCCCCTCTTTTAATTTCCTCATTTTTATTTTATCTCATCTCAATTCAAATAATTATATTTATACTTTTGTCTGTTCTGTTTCAATTTCATATTATCTTTTCTCATTAAACAAATTTTCTCCTGTAGTTACTAATTGGAGTATGACACCTTTATATCTTTTAATTATATCCATTCAACTCTTATTTAAACTTCAATATATACCTTAAGGTTATGACCTTCAACATAATAATACATAACTTCCAATCGAATTCTGCTTGGTACATTCTTATAATACACACTATATTCTTTTTTTAAAAAAGGATTATAAATATATGTAATTATAAACCCTCATTCCATTCCAATTCAGTTCTATCATTAATAATCATTAAAGTTTTAACATCTTTAACATTTCTTTTCAATTAAATATCATACTTCCTTAAAGACACATATAATCTCCATAATTAATTTTTCCCTTATTTCTCTTCACATATGTTTTGTAAATCATTAAATATTAATTTTGTTACATTTATTTATTGACAAGCATTCCACTAAGTTACGATAACTATTTTATCAAACATTTTAATCATACAGTTTCATATTTTCTGAAATTATTTCTATTTCTAATATAACAATACTATCTTATGTACCTTTGCAGAATCCCTTTTTCCATTAGATTTTCTCCCATTATCTCTCAATAGGCCCTGTTTCTCTATATTTGTTTCTGTCCTTTATAACTTCTTTTCCTTTCTTTCTTCCCTCTCTTCTTCCTCCCCTTTTTACCTCCTTGTCTCTCTACTTCTAATTCTCTCTTCTGCATTTCCCTCTTCTGTTGCTTTCTGATTTTATACTTATTTTTCACTCTATTATTTTTTTTGGAGTTGTTTTTCCCAATCTTAAACTTTCCATTCTCTTTCCCCCTTCCTTTTTTTCCCCCCACCTAAGATTACTTGTTCATTAAAGATGGCTTCTTCTTTGTCCCAATCTTGTTCTGCAAGCATTTCTTGTTGTTTCTCATAGTTCCAAATCTCCATTTCT